GATAGTTCTGAAACTATTTCCTTCGTGGTCACTTTGAGTCGACATTGACTTGACAGCACACCCCACCCCACCCCTAGAATTGATCCCATCCTTTTTATCAACCCCCCTCGGATCACTCATCGTGACCACCCCAGGTGCACTCTCCTGGGCTGCTGCAGAAGCGACTGTCCTTCCGTCTTCCCTTGCCTTGCCTTCCGGAGTATTGAGGGACCAACATGCTCCACCACCACCTGCCTGTCAGTGTGATGTACTGTGGTGGCTTGTGTGATGCTGGAAGCTGTGTCACTGGTATTTCAAATACCAGCGGGTCCCCCAGCGTGAACAGGTTGCAGTTGGGCATCCGGACTGTGAGTAAGCAATAAACTGTCCGCTTCTGAGGAATTCGCCTCTGAAAACCATGGGTAGCAGCGGACCATTTTCAGTTACTCTCACAAATAAAAGCAGGACATTGTCAGAGAGAGTTCCAGAAGAGGAGCCCCTCCGATCTGAAGGCACTCCCAAGATGCCTGAGGAAGAGCTGTTTTCTCGAAGTAGAGTTGACCGCGATGATGTAGATGGGGTAAAGTCTCAAGGAGTAAAGTCTTCATGACCTATGTTTGCTGTTAAGTGGCAGCTCAAAATGATAAGAAACAGCTGCAAACATCTATTAATAATTGGAAGTTAGAATGTGCAAAAAGTATGAATCTAGGATTATTTGAAGTCATCAAAAATGAAATGGAACTTTTAAGGATGGATATTCTAGGTCTTGGTGAGCTGAAAAGGACTAGCATTGGCCATTTTGAATCAGAAAATCATATGGTTTCCTCTGCTGAGAATGACAGATTCAAGAGGAATAACCACACATTCATTGTCCAGAGGACATGTCAAGGTCTATCTTGCAGTGTATTGCTGTCTGTGATGGGATTATCAATACAACAATTATTCAAATGTATAGACCAACCATTAAAGCTAATGCTGCAGGCATTACAGAATTTACTAGTGTCTTCCATCTGAAATTGATCAAACATGCAATCAAGATGCACTTAAAATTATTGGTAATTGCTATGCAAAAAATTGGAAACGGTAGAAGGAACAGTAGTTAGAAAACATGGTTTTGTGGTAAAAATGAAGCTGGAGATCATATGATAGAATTTTTAAAGACTGGTTGAGTACTTCATAATATCTGTTTTTCAACAACACAAACAACAGCTGTACACATAAACTTCTCCAGATGCAATACATGGAAATAAAATTACTACTTCTGTGGGGAGAGATAACGTAGAAGCTCAAAATCAGCATCCAAAACGGGGCTGAGGACGACTGTAAAACAGACCAGCAGTGGCTTATACACATATTCAAGTTGAAGCTGAAGAAAATTAAAATAAATCCATGAGAGCCAAAATATGATCTTTTGTACATTCTATCTGAATTTCCAGAACATTTCAAGAACAGATTTGATTCATTGAACATTAATGACAGAAGACAGCTGCTTGGCCAACTGACTGGAAGAGATCCATATCTCTGCCCATTCCAAAGAAAGGTGACCCAACAGAATGCTCAAACTATAGAATGAGATCTTCGATATCATATGCAAGTAAAATTTTGCTGAAGATCATTCAACAGTGGTTGCTGTCAGCCATTGACAGAGTTGTCAGAATTTGAGGCGTGCTTCAGAAGAGGACATGAAACCAGAGATGTCATTGCTGATATCAGATGGATCTTAGGCGAACGCAGAAAAAATGGAAAGATGCTTACTTGTGTTTTGTTCACCTTGCAAAAACATTCAACTGTGTCAACCATAGCAAATTAGGGTTTTATTAAAAAGAATGTGAATTTCAGAATTCTTTATTGTGTTCTTGTGGTAGCTGAATGTGGATAAAGTGGCAGTTGTGTGAACACAGAGGGAATGCCACATGATTTAAAATCAAGAAAAGTATGCATCAAGGTGGTTTGTTCTCATCATACCTATTTGAGGTTATGCTGAGCAAATAATCAAAGAAACTGCATTATGTGAAGAAGAATGCTGCATCCGGATTAGAGGGAGGCTTATGAACAACCTGAGGTGTGCAGATGGCCCAGTCTAGCTCGCAGAACGTGACAAGGACTTGAAACATATGCTGATGAAGACCCAGGATTCCAGCCCTCAATATAGATGACAAGTCATCGTAAAGAAAACCCAAATCATCACAACTGGACCAGTAGGTACATCATGATAAATGGAGAAAAGGTTGAGGTGGTCAAGGATTTTGTCTACTTGGACCCACAATCAATGCTCAGGAAAGCAGCAGTCGGGATCAAATGATGCATTGCGTTAGGTAAATCTATTGTACACGACCTCTTTAAAGTGCTGAAAAGCATAAATATTATTTTGATGACTAACGTGTGCCTAACTCAAGCCATGGTATTTTGCATTGCCCCTCTGTATGTGAAAGTTGGACACTGAATAAGGAAGACTTGATGCATGTGAATCATGGTGCTATCAAAGAATATCGTACCAGAGACTGCCAGATGTCAAACTGATATATCTTAGAAGAAGTATAGCCAGAATTCTCGTTAGAAACAAGGATGATGAGGTTTTGTCTCATGGATTTTAGAAATATTAGAACAGACCAGGCCCTGGAAATAAAAACAAACCATCATGCTTGCTGAAAGAGAGGCTGCAAAAAAGGAGGAAGACACTTGACAAGATGGATTGACAATGGGCTCCATCATAGCGATGGTTGTA